CACACACCCACACACACACACACACACACACATGCACATACGCATGCACACTCACATGCACACACACTCACACATGCACACACACATACCAACTCACACACATACATACGCACACACATGAAGTCTCACAAAGTCATGTTATCTTCAAACACCTTGCGTCTATTGACTTACATTATTCTCGTTCATTACGTCTGTTGTGAACGAAGATCACACAGCGGCAGATATGTACCTCCAAAAACAAAGAAAGAAAAAGATATAAAAGAAATTTTTTACCATCTAGCATAAGGCTTTTGTCAGAATGAGCATAGATGTGTTTTGCTCTAGGCCTTCTCAGGGACTGAGGAAGCCTAGGTTTTGCTCTTAGAGTATGTATCTATATATAACTCCGAAGGTCTTGTAATTAAATTCCTGCATGTGGTTGAATGATGCATCTGATGTGAATGTACATTTTGTCAGCTCTACTTCTCTTTTTATATTGAATTTTAATGAGAGTAATACAGTGTATATAATTTAAAATGTTTATGTATGCCTGCATGTGTTTTCACTGTCCTGTACAGCCAAGAAATATTTCCCTCTGGGATGATAAAGTATTTTCTCATCTTATCTTATTTTATCTTATCTTTCCCTGAAATCACTTCTCCGATATAACATTTCCTCTGCTGATTCCCTTTACCCTTTTGTGTTTGGCATCGGCAGGAGTACTTGGTCAGGAACAGAACGACCAACGTGGATGTGGACAGCAGAGGGAGAAGCTGTAAGGAGAGGATGCTCACTGTTTTGTTTGACGGGCCTCTGGAACATCACAGCAAGTGAGTCACCCTTTTTTGGTTTTGTTTTGGGGTTTTGGGGGGGGGGGGGGATTTGTTAAGTGTTTTACAGTGCTCACAACTGCATAAGGTCATGTGAGCACGCTGGATGCATTAAACTTTTTCAGCTGGTAGGAAATTTTGAATTTTGCCCGGATGGCAGCCGAAGCCTACTCTGATCAATTTTAGACCACCAAGGGATCTTTAACGTGGGCAATTTGCACACGAGACCTCCGAGAACTTATCGGAGAAGGCTATGTGTAGATCTTTCCTACCAGAAGATCTGGGGTGTGGCTGAAAGACAGCAGTAAGGAGGAGCCAAGGTTGGTTTAGTTTGAGCAAAGAGAAGAGAAGCATATTTACTCAATGACAGCCATTAATTACTTTGTGTTAAGGGAAAAAAGCAAGATTGACAGACAGAATCAACAGAAGGAAAGAAAAGGAGCAGAACCTACGTGACAATTTAATAACACTTTTTGATTGGACGCAAGGAAGATGTGAAGAGAATTCTCCGGTAGAATTTTAAAGTTTTCTGTTGAACATTTCTGTGTCTGTAAGATTAAGATCATTGTTCGCACATTTTGGGTTGTGCCTTCATAATAATAGACAGCATTTGTATAGCGCGAATCCCCGCTCAACAGCAAGCTTTATATGCTTCACAAATCTATACTATTTGCCCGGCTGACCTAATATATTATTTGTTTAATGTTGTCATGAATATTTGGAGCTCCCTTGTGGGTGTTTTGTTAACGCTGTGGACTCGACTGCTCCTAGTTATATCTGCCAACTTTACCTCCAAACCCTTCTGTGCACCGACGCTCACCTAAATCTTTGGCGGTCATATGACCTAATGCAGTTGCAAGCGCCGTAAAACCATCTACTATTTTGTTTTAATGATTCTAAACCCGACGTTTGTCAAAGTTTGCAGCTGGCTTGTGGGAGCTCAGCACATCTGTCCTGTAAGACTTGAACTTTTTTTTTTCTTTTTCTTTGTAAGATATCCCTCTAACTAGGGATCCGTCGAATTACCGAGACCGGTCCCGTTGAAATCGAGTTATCCCTGTTACTGTAGATCTGTTGTGCTTGGAAAAGGGGTTTGGATTTGAACCTAAAAGAGATGGGTAACAGCTGGACAGGGGTGGGAATGGGTACCCGGCCATAGACAGTGAAAGATCTTGTCAGTATGTTAGTGTTTTAGCGTCTATAAATGGATGCTTGCACTGTATGCTTCCCAGGAAGTTGAGGTTGTTTCAGAATGCTCTCAGGTCTGCTGGGGTAATAGTATAGATTGTGAAGCGCATAGAGCTTGATGTTGAGCAGGAATTTGCGCTATACCAATGCTATCAATTTTTATTATTATTATTATTTTTATTATTATTATTATTATTATTATTATTATTATTATGATGATGAAACTGAAGCCCCTGACTGAAGTAGATGGAGAATTTTTGGTGGTTTCTTGTACTCGGAAATGGGTTGAGAAAGGCTGGTGATGGTGATGATGATGGTGGTGGTGATGATAATGATAATGACGATGATGATGATGGTAATGATTGATTATGATGATCATTGATGATGATGATTAATGATGATGATGGTGGTGATGATGATGATGATGATTAATGCTGATAGTGGTGATGATGATGATGATTAATGCTGATAGTGGTGATGATGATGATGATTAATGCTGATAGTGGTGATGATGATGATGATGATTAATGCTGATAGTGGTGATGATGATGATGATTAATGCTGATAGTGGTGATGATGATGATGATGATTAATGCTGATAGTGGTAATGATGATGATGATCTTGATGATCTGTTCAATTTCCTTTTTTTGTAAAAAAAAAAAAAATACCTTCACTGTCACTTTATTCCTTCACTTTCACTTTCAGAATAGAAGGCTTTGAGGTGATGGACGGCCCACTGAACCAGGCACAGCTCCAGAAGCTGTTTGTCTCCTTTGGTCTAGACTCTATGTACAGTCAGTCTGTGGCGGGAGTCCGGTGACCTTTGTTCTAGACTCTGTGTACTGTCAGTGAGTCCGGTGACCTTTGGCCTAGACTCTGTGTACAGTCAGTCTGTCTGGTGACCTTTGAACTACGAGAATGAGCTGTCTCTGCGTTTGTGAAAGAAATCGAATGAACTTTGAACTGCTGTATGTGATCAAATGAATTGTCTTTATGTCTGAAAGGAATCAGATGACCTTTGTACTATGTGAATGAATTCTGACTCTGGTCCTCTGCCTGCAAGAGCCAAGAGAAGAGTTACTAAAACCTTCACCATCATGCCACTTACTGGCACGTGTGGTCCATGAATAAACTTTGACGTCTCGGCTAGTCTTTACGTTTTTGTCAAAGAAATCAGATAAATTTCAGACAAAATAACATAACAATATAAAATGTTTAAAATTAGTTTAATAGACACAGCTCAACATTTTGCCTCTTGGGCTTCCTCAGGTGCAACTGAGAGAAAAACTAAATGGGCGCTGTATACTAGCAGGGACATGGGCCTATCAAATAGGGTCTTAAGATTACGTGTGGTTACAGGCTAGACGGAAGTGACTCATCAGAGCGAGCCAGGCCAAGGGGCTAGTTAGAAAGAAGTGACATAGCATAGGGCCTACTGGAATGAGTAATCCGCTTATATATTTGGACATCTCTGTTCCATGAAGTGTATGTGTGCTTGTGTGTACCTGTTCTTGCTTGTGTGTTGTATGTGTGCCTGTGTGTTGTATGTGTGCTTGTGTGTACATGTACTTGCCTGTGTGTTGTATGTGTGCTTGTGTGTACATGTACTTGCCTGTGTGTTGTATGTGTGCTTGTGTGTACATGTTCTTGCTTGTGTGTTGTATTGGGACATGTATGTCATGTATCAGATAGACCTATATATGGATTGTTTGGTTTTGTTGAGTCTGTTTTTTTATTTCGCCATGTTGGTGATTATTGTGTGCCTATCAGTCGATTTGTTTGTGAAGAATGCTTTAAGTTTTGTTTAGAAATAAACCCAAAGTCTGTAGTCATGATTATAGTTATATTTATTTTCACATATTATGAATGTATGATTTATTTATCAATCTGCCTTACTGTCTGTCTGTCTGTCTGTCTGTCTGTCTGTCTGTCTGTCTGCCTGCCTTATGGTCGATCTGTCAGTCTGTCTGCCGAACTGTCTATCTATCTGTCTGTCTGTCTGTCTGTCTGTCTGTCTGTCTGTCTGTCTGTCTGTCTGTCTGTCTGTCCCTTCATTCCTCGAACCCATAAGACACTGTCTCATCTAATCTATCAGATCACAACCATTTGACCAATGGGTTTCTTTCCATTCTAAGCAATATGGGAAGTGATCAAACCAGTCTGTGGGTAGTTGGCGGGTGCTCTGGTGTGGTTTGCTTCTTCTTTCCCATCAAACATCTATCGTCCTTAATATCTCCCCTCCTTCTTTTTTGTGTTTGTTACTCTCTTGTAACGCCTCTAATCTACGGCACTTACATGACCTTATTGTGTTGTGAGCGCCGTAAAACTCTTAAGAAAACGAAACAAAACCGTCTGGCCCACCAAGGGTAATGTGTGATGTTTTATAATTGTGCGACAAGGCCTCTATAGGTTTTACACCCCTTCCAACACTGCCAGGACCTCCTATTTAACGTCCATCTCCATTTGATTGTAGATCTACGTAAATAGATAAATATGTCATCACAATGACTATTGATGTCTTCCTTGCCAATGCCAAAGACCTGAATTATTGTGTCTAGAGACATGGATCCACCCCCGGGGCGGTGCCACTGACTGAAGTGTCTTTAGGCCATTCCCAAAGGGGGGATATTAACAAGTTCTCAATCTCATGCACAGTAGAATTGTAAATGGGCTGGTTTATCAATGTCATTCTCATAACTGTGCCTGAATTGCAACAGGGGACACTGCTGCTTTTTCTTTCCTCATCCTTACTGTCGTCATTTTTCCTCTACTTCTTTTGTACGTTTGTCACACTTTTGTGACTCGCTATTTCTGGGGTGCCTTGATAGTCAAAGCAGACTTTGTGCTGTTGAAGCTAGAGAGGTGAGCAGAGTAAGTCTGATTCCTTGTAAGGACTTCTCTGTTGACATCCACCCCTTGGCGCTCATATGACCTTATGCAGTTGTGAGCTCCGTAAAACCTCTACTAAAATATAAAAAAGACCTGAATTATTGTGCTTAGTAGAAACTATTGTGGCAAGTTCTCAAAACTAGGTAGGCCTACTGAGCAGACAGAACTGTGTAATTCTATGGTAGCAATTTATATATATATATATATATGAATATATATATATATATATATATATATATATATATATATATATATATATATATATATATATATATATATATATATATATATATATAGATAGATAGATAGATAGATAGATAGATAGATAGATATATATATATATATATATATAGATAGATAGATAGATAGATAGATAGATAGATAGATAGATAGATAGATAGATAGATAGATAGATAGATATATGCACACACACATACATTTTGTAGCGCTCTACCCCGAGGTAAAGAACACGGTCTGAGTATTTGGCATGTGCAGCTGGTGCCGTAGTAACTCACAGCCGTTGTGTTCTGACCGAAAATGTACATGTGGCACGATGCTGTGGAGTCAGGCTCTCGTCAATATTTGGGCATGAGGAGTTATTGGTATCATCTTACTTAAAGTTGTTCATTTGCCTTGCTGTCGTTGAAAGAAATACACATTTTTCTTGAATACGGGTCGAGATATTTGCAGTTGAAGGAAGTGAGGGTCGCCTGGTTTCAGAGTTGAAATTAGCGAGAAAATGGCAGCCAAAGATTGGTTATTTACAAAGTCTGAGAGTCTGTGGAAACTGACAATTTCCATTTTTTTGTGCTTTAATTAACGTTTTTTCAGTAAAATCCACACAGATGGGTTCTTAAATGGACACAAAACTTGTTGAAAAAAAAAATTCAATAAAAAGTTCCATACTGGTGGAAAAATGCACGGTTTTTCTTATTCATTTTGAAGAACTTCTGATTCCACCAGGCTACCTCACATATAATATATGTAGGCCCTATTCTAAAAACAAAAGTAACTGACTTGAGCTGACAGTCCCTATTCTAAAAACAAAAGTAACTGACTTGAGCTGACAGTCACTATTCTAAAAACAAAAGTAACTGACTTGAGCTGACAGTCCTTATTCTAAAAACAAAAGTAACTGACTTGAGCTGACAGTCCCTATTCTAAAAACAAAAGTAACTGACTTGAGCTGACAGTCCCTATTCTAAAAACAAAAGTAACTGACTTGAACTGACAGTCCCTATTCTAAGAACAAAAGTAACTGACTTGAGCTGACAGTCCCTATTCTAAAAACAAAAGTAACTGACTTGAGCTGACAGTCCCTATTCTAAGAACAAAAGTAACTGACTTGAGCTGACAGTCCCTATTCTAAGAACAAAAGTAACTGACTTGAGCTGACAGTCCCTATTCTAAAAACAAAAGTAACTGACTTGAGCTGACAGTCCCTATTCTAAGAACAAAAGTAACTGACTTGAGCTGACAGTCCCTATTCTAAAAACAAAAGTAATTGACTTGTGCTGACAGTCCTTATTCTAAGAACAAAAGTAACTGACTTCAGCTGACAGTCCCTATTCTAAGAACAAAAGTAACTGACTTGAGCTGACAGTGAACACACGACGCTGTCAGCCTAGTCGTCACGTGGCCACAAGAGAGCGTTGTCCTTCCTGTTCATGAGAAATTTTGTCCCAGCTTATCTGGACATTGTTGCTGTAGACGTCTTCAAACGTGCCTGTGAGCGTGAACTCATAGCGTCCCTCCGAGCTGAGGCTGTTGATCACAGCCTGGGCCGAGCCGTACTGCGCCCTCATCTCTGCCCACCGCCACGGCCCCTGGTGGCTGTCACTCTGTTCCTTCAAGGCCTTGCAAAATGGCTCGGTGCCGTCTCCAAATGAGTAACTGGTAAATGACTCGGATGTTTCAGACCCTTCTAGGTCCTGTCGCAGTCTGAGGAACCCTTCGAGTGCTGTCGAGAAGTGCGTAAGGATTGTTGCGTTGTAATGAACGGTTCGTCGAGTTCTGGACTGAGTGAGCGTCCAGTTGAGGGCGTGGTCTGGAAGCACGTTCACAACGGACTCCACGACAAAAGTCTGCTTCTGTTGGTTCTGAGAACAGTCTTCCGTGGATGATGACATCTGGTACGTGAAGTCGTAGCTACTGCTGGCTGGCAACCCCTCGGGGATGTAGCCAATCTTGACATTCAACTCCTCCGGGTTTGTCCATTCGGATGTCGGAATATGGGTCACTGACCGCACCACTTCATTGACGCGCTGTACCCTGTGCTGGATGGGGACAGACAACGTGTTCCTCACTAGGCCACTACCTATGGTCCCCGGGGGAAGCTTCTGTAGCTCAGGCTCGCCGTAAGAAATGCTTTTAAGAGTCAACCTCCAGTTGTCATAGCTCATGTTGAACCGGCGATCTCCGCTATCGAAGGACCAGGTGTCCCCAACTCGGCGGAAGTCTTCCCCGACTGTGGCGTCCGTTGAGCCGTGGTACCAGACGTAGCCGAGATGGTCAGCCAGACGTGACACGTCATACACGGTGTCCTCCATTACTTTTGTCTTGACGCTACGCAGAGAATTCAGCGGCTCCGGCGCGGCCGCCATTCTGCAGCACATCATTTTCTCAATGCAGTGCAACTCATTGCAGCCTCCTCGGAAGAGACCAGTGATGAAGTACATGTCTCGGCATTCGCTGACTCCTTTATCGTTGAACGAATCACTTATGTCTTGAACGTAGCAGTGGCCGTAACGGTGTGGGTGTGACGGTGGCTTCGCGCACCAGCCAGGTTCGATATTCTCAAGCAACTGTGGTTTGCCTGTTCGGGAAAGCCCCTGTAAGAAGTAGCCAGTTTGACAAGTGTTCCAGGTATAGTTCTCCTCAAAACTGCTGTTCCAGTCGGCTCGGTAAGCCTGCCCAAGGTCTTTGGCGTATGGGTTCGGGGCGGTTCAGCAAAATGCATTCTCTAACAGGAAAATATAATCAGGGGAACGTCTAGCGTTACGCTTGAAACCTTTGATGTATTCACCGGCCGTGTTACTGCTGTTACTGCATTTGCATGACCCAATCTTGTCAAAACGGTGGTACCAATCAGCTTTCTTGCATCCCCCGTGGACGATTGAGAAAAGATGAAGAAACACGAAGCAGACAGCTCTTAGGATGTTCGCCATTGTCGGGGCAAGCTCTGCCTCACCCACAGCCGTTCGTCTTCCGCTGGCCGCTGAGAGGGAGGACTCGTGGACTCTGTGGAGTTTGTTTCGTTTTAGTAGAGATTTTACGGCACTCGCAACTGCATAAGGTCATATGAACGCCAGAAGATTAGAGGTGTTACCAGAGAGTAACAAACATAAAAAAGGAAAAGGAGAGATATGGACGATAGAAGTTTAATAGGAAAGAAGAAGCTAACCATACCAGAGCACCCGCCATCCACCCACACTCTGTGGAGAGTGAGAGTTTGCTGTGTGTTCATTAACCGGGAGGAGGGGAAGAGAGGCACGACTACCGTACAATAAATGTGCAGGATGCTGACAAAATGAGTTACTTTTCGAATTCCAGTCTCATGGACACAGATAGATTGTATCAAAGTCATTGTTTAGGATGATATAATTTTGTATATGGAATGATAAAAGGTATTAAACTTGAAGAAAAAAGGATCAGTTTAAAATTTACAAGTTTGATGTGTGGATTTTCGGCCTACGTATCCATTCGTGGATTGCGAGAAGTAACTCATTTTGTCAGCACGCCTCACAAATTATTATCGCGTGCCGGACGCAGCTTTTTGTCTTAAGATCAAGACATCCAAGTCGCCCTGCGTCTTCTATGAGATACGGAATTAGAAGAGCAGTTTTTAATACATATAGGGCCCAAAGAGAAAAACGTTGTTTATTACTGGGTCAAATAATCTTTGTTTGTTTGCTGGCCTTCAGAAGTGCCATGCAAAGTTTCGTGGGCACAGCGAAATTCCTCATTAGGTAGAATCTTTTTACCGCTGCCGCCAGACGAAAGTGAACACGCTATACTTTCCTCATAATATCTGGACACCCCCAAAATCTAGGTTAGCCCCCTTGACCTTAAAAGTTTTTCCCCAAAAACTCAACAAAACAAAACAAAAACCAGCAAGCACACAAGTAGTAATACATGTATCCGTGTCGTACCAGACGCCAAAGAAAAGAAACACTATGGGCTGTTGACGGGCGTAGCTTGTTTGTTCCTCTTCTGTGCAAACTTCCACATGATCTATCTTCCATATCTCTCTCCTCCTTCTTTTATTTGCCTGTTACTCTCTGGTAACACTTCTAATCTTCTCAACTTACATGACGTATTTGTTTTGTTAGCGCCGTGAAACTCCTACTAGAGCTAAAAACAACACAACAACAGCAACAACAACAACTACAGCAATAGCAACAGTACAACAACAACAATAACAACAACAGCAGTAGTGTAGCAACAAAAACAAAAATAACAACAACAATAATAACAACAACAATAATAACAACAACAGCAGTTGTGTAGCAACAAAAACAGTAACAGCAACTACAACAATAATAACGATTACCACAAAAACAGCAACTACAACAACAATAACGATAACCACAAAAACAACAACAACAACAACAATAACGATAACCACAAAAACAGCAACACCAACAACAATAACGATAACCACAAAAACAGCAACAACAACAACAATAACGATAACCACAACAACAGCAACTACAACAATAATAACACTTAAGACTCAGCCTCGTGTTCTGAGCAACAGAGTAGTATACATGTAGTAAAATACCTCAGAACAGCAGCTGTTAGTTAAGTGGTGAGTAGTAGAGTATAAATCTACCTCAGAACAGCAGCTGTTAGGTGGTGAGTGGTATAGTAACATACATCAGAACAGCAGCTGTTAGGTGGTGAGTGGTATAGTAACATACATCAGAACAGCAGCTGTCAGTTAAGTGATGAGTTGAGTAGTACATACATCAGAACAGCAGCTGTCAGTTAAGTGATGAGTTGAGTAATACGTAGGCTACATCAGAACAGCAGCTGTTAGTTAAATGATGAGTAGTATAGTAACGTACCTCAGAATAGAAACCGTCAGTTAAGTGATGAGTAACTCAGAACAGCAGTTGTCTGTTAAGTGATGAGTGGTAGGTAGAGTAACGTACCTCAGAACAGCAGCCGTCAGTTAAGTGGTGAGCTGTGCTGTGCCCGTTTCACTGCCTGGTGTTATGATGTTAATGTTAATGTTATTGTGAAGGACTTGACGCTCTTTTATACGCCTTCCAAAGCTTGACATCGGAGACAACCACAGGCGGGCCACGACGCGGTGGAATCAGGCGCTCGTCAGCTTTTTGCTTTATGGAGTTGTGGAAATAATCTTATCTTAAATCTGGGTTCATTTGTCTTGATTTGGAAGAGAAAAATACTCATCTGTCTTGAACTGAAGTCGAGATAATGATAATATTATTGACAAAGGAAGTGGTAGTCGCCTAGTGTCAAATGCAATGATAGAGAGAAAATTGGTCGCCAAAGTTTGGTGACTTCCGAAGCTTGAGTTTCCTCGAAAACTGCTAAATTACATTTGTGTTTGCCTTTGGTCAAAGTTGTTCTTGTAAAATGCACACTCACGCATGCTTTTAAAAGGACATGATAATATAAAGGGTGTTGCCCCCCCCCCCCCCTTTCCCCAAACCCAAAAAAATATTTTTAAATCGATTAAAAATTGCCCATTAGGTAGGAAAGGATGTCGGTTTCTTTGATGATATGTATCACAACGCGCTCTCGTCAATTTTTGGGCACCTGCAGTTATGGGTATCACCGAAAGCTTGTTCATTTGCCTTGCTTTCAACGTAAAAAAAATATCCGTCAATCTTGAATAGAAGTCGAGATATTTGCGTTTGAAGCAGAATGATGAGGCTGCCTGGTTTCAGTTATTAAATTAGCGAGAAAATGGCTGCCACAGTTTGGTAACTTCAATAGCTTGAGAGTTCTTGAAAACTGAAAAAATACATATTTTGTGCCTTTACTCAACGTTTTTCAGTAAAACTCACATGGAAGTGTGTATAGAATGGACATAAAAGGTGTTGAGCCACAAAAAAACCCAAAACACTTGATAAAAATTGTCACAACGGAAAAAAATGCCTGTTCCTTTGATTTCATTGTTTTGACGAGCGCCTGATTTCACCCCAACGCCACACCTATGTAATGACCAGTGTGAGGAGCTGGGGTTTTTTGTTTTATTATTGTACGTGCAGGAAGGATGTAAACAAGGCAAAAACTTGTTATAATTATTTGCTGATTTCTCGGGGCTAACATCTTGACGCCATGCACTTATATACAGAGACGACAACATTCGTATTTTCCTGCTTTCATTAGTTTCATCATCATCATCATCATCATCATCATCATCATCATCATCATCATCATCATCATCATCCTCATCACCATCTCCATCACCATCATGATCACCATCATCATCATTGTAATTGTAGACAGCAATCAAAAAGACAAAAAAAAAACGGTTGAGACTTGTAAGATTTTCAAACATTTTTTACGTTCAACGTTTGGCCATCCTAGGGTTTCTTCGTCATTCATCATCATCATCATCATCATCATCATCATCATCATCATCATCATCATCATCGTCATCTTAAATTCTGTTTTATTTATGAAACTCAGAAAAGCAAAGAACAGCCGGAACGTTACCGTCCGTGTTTATCGATGACACGATGAAGGGCAGTGTTCATGATATATAAGGAGAATATAAATAAATAAATAAATAAATTCATCAATTGAATAATAAATGAATAAATAGATAAATAAATAAATACTTCCTTTAAATAAATAAGTAAATAAATAAATACATAAATACATAAATAAATAACTGATGGTGTGTTTGTCTTTTTCTTCTGAATCCCGACTGGCTGACACCAAATTTCTCTTTTTCAATGATGTGGAGGAGTCGATATTTATTATTGTTTCTAAAACTTTTCCAAGATGACTGGTGAGAGAGATCGGTCTATAGGAAGCCGGTTGGCTTTTATCTTTTTGGGTTTTAATATATTGGTATTATTGTGTTATTATTATAAACCATTAGTAGATTTTTAACCCTTTTATTTAACTTAAGAAGCAAAATATTCACATCCGACAGCGGTCCTGTTGAACCGGAAGTGTTCGGCTACGTTCTTAAATCTGAAGAGTTCACTGATCATTCCGCAACCACCTTGAAGACGTGCGGAATTCTGGGGCATTTCCTAAAAGAAGCATACCCTCGTTATTGGTACTTAGTTGTTTCTTAGGAGACGGCTGAGAGGATCGTGGATGGAAAAAAATCAAATGAGGTAGTGCTTGATGAAGCCCACGTGGGACGCTCAATGTTAAAAATGATCAGGAAACGACAAATGTAGTTTTTGTAACATCTGAATAGACGTAAGGGTCTTAACATCTAGCTCTCATTGGCAAAATTGAGGGCAAGCGAGGCAGAGGAAGGCCCCGAACAACATACTCAGGGAACCTAAACAAATGGGTAACGGAAAGATCAGGGAAATGTAGCTTTTTTGAGAGCATCCGAGCAAAGGAATGAATGGAGAACCATGATCGCCGATGTCTCTCGCAGATCTGGCACTGGATGATGATGACACTCGTTATTCATGCAGAATTTTTCAATTTTGTTTAAAATAGCAAGGAAGAACATCCATACCAATAAATAAATATGCAAATTCGTGTTTATATAATTGGATTGGTCGTTTTTAAGCACAATGGGAATATCCCCAAAAAATGCTGTTTTGAGAAAATCAAAGGTAAAGTTTTCGCCCCTTATTTAGTTTCTTTAAAAGACAAGGAGAACTTTGTCTATAACCAAACATTACACACCAATGAAACCAAACTTCTTCTATAGGTAGGGCAATGCCCACTTTTGGTGTGGGTCTATATTTTCTGGAAACCCCGAAATCTGGGCTTGTCCTTCAAAGCGACCAATTTGTGTATGATGGTTCAAAATGTAGCACGACATTACCGTTGGCCTGTTGGTAATTGGACGTAGATTCTATGGGTCTGCTAAGTTCTTAGAATTAACCCTATCCGTACTCCTGGGGTCATTTTGTAACCCCGGGGTTGTATTCTTCACATTTTAGAATACTTCTAGTACGAAGATGTCTAGGAAACTTTCAGTGTTTCTCAAAAAATCATTTTGACAGACTGCTATGCAAAGCATACGGTTCGATTAACGAGTAAATTTCCTCTTTGGAAAGTGGTGGCACAGAGTTCCCCATGTTGTATGGATACGATAGTGAAACACGACGTACAGATAGGGTTAAGTGGTGGCACAGAGTTCCCCACGTCGTATGGATACGATAGTAAAACACGACGTACGGATAGGGTTAAGTGGTGGCACAGAGTTCCCCACGTCGTATGGATACAATAGTAAAACACGACGTACGGATAGGGTTAAAGAGTTAATTCTGTTCTGTGCTCGGCCATCGTCCAAGTGTATCCTTGTCTCGTGTTGGCAGATTGCTGTAAGCTAAGAAAAGAACGGTCACGTTGTAGCCAAGGGCAAGTGTATCCTTGTCTCGTGTTGGCAGATTGCTGTAAGCTAAGAAAAGAACGGTCACGTTGTAGCCAAGGGCAAGTGTATCCTTGTCTCGTGTTGTCAGATTGCTGTAAGCTAAGAAAAGAACGGTCACGTTGTAGCCAAGGCCAAGTACCCTCCACTCAAGCTCCTGTTCCCAGCGGCTTTAAAATTGGAAATTCCAAGAAACTGCTGTTTATATTGACGCATGTAGTAAATACATTTGTTGTTGTGTTGCTTATGTTATCCTTTTGCGTTTGGCGTAATCAAAAAAAGCTCCACAATGCAAAGAAAGATCCTTCTTCCTAGGTTCCGGCTTTCATGTCTTTTTTTTCTGTAAGTGTTTTACGGCGCTCGCAACAGCATTTTCAGTTTGGTAGGAATTAATGTTGAATTTTGCTCGTGTGTCGGCCGAAAGTCAGGAGCCCAGAGGAGGGGGGGAAAGGGGGAGGGTGGGGGCAAAAAGTGGAGACGAAAGCAGACGACAGAACATGATTACATAGCAGGAAAGGTGAAAGGAGAAATCTCTTTAGAGAAGAAAATGTCCGTCACTGTCACGGTTTGAACTCGAGACCTCTTGAATCAGGGGCTTTAGTTTTAGTAGAGGTTTTACGGCGCTCGCAACTGCATAAGGTCATATGAGCGCCAAAAGATTAGAGGTGTTACAAGAGAGTAACAAACAAATAAAAGAAGAAGGGAGATCAGGACGATAAATGTTTGATAGGAAAGAAGGAGCGAACCACACTAGAGCACCCGCCAACCACCCACGAACGAGAGGCGGTCATGAGAATCCCCTTTTCGTGTTTGAGATGTGCCAGCCAACAACGACCGTCGGCTGTCAGCTGAGTGGATCGGGGAAAGAGTGGGGAGGGGGGGTGGGGGGAGGTGATTGTACACTTGGGTCACTATAATGTTTGTCTTAAGTGTTTTGCGGCACTTGTAACACAATACAGCCATGTAAGTGGCGTCGGTGGCCTAGTGGTTAGGCTCTCGGACTCGCAACCGTAAGGTCGTGGGTTCGAATCCCGTCAAGGGCCCGACGTTGTGTCCTTGGGAAAGGCACTTTACACGAATTTTCCTCACTTCACCCAGGTGGGAATGGGTACCCGGCTATAGACAGCGAAAGATCTTGTCAGTTTGTTAGTGTTTGAGCGCTTAATCGGCTACTCGCACTGTATGCTTCCCGGAAAGCTGAGAATGTTTCTGAGTGTTCTATGGTCTGCTGGGGTAATAATATAGTGTAAAGCGCATAGAGCCTGCTGTTGAGCGGGGATATGCGCTATACAAATGCTATCTATTATTATTGTTATTAAGTGCCGCAGAGTACGACATGTAGACATGTGACCACAGGAGCAGCGACCACAACGATGGAGGAAAGAAAGGACGGTATTATTTTTGTGGCGTCCAAGAGAAACTTGAAGTGGGTGGTTGGTGGGTGCTCTGGTGTGGTTTGCTTCTTTCCTGACTTTCCTATCAAACATCTATCGTCCTTATCTCCCTTTCTTCTTTTTTATGTTTGTTACTCTCTTGTAACACCTCTAATCTTCTGGCGCTCATATGACCTAATGCAGTAGCGAGCGCCGTAAAACCTCTATAAGAGCAGAGAAACTTGAAAATGTAATCACCCAACCATCGTGTTCAAGCCTTGCATTACCCACTCATGCAGCATAACAATTTAAAGCTGAATAAATTCTGCCTCATCTGACACATGTATATTTCATCTATGTTACGAGACGCCCGAGATAAATGGCCATTCAAACGTGACCCCCAAAAATCAGACTTGATAGCATTGTGCGAAATCAAAGGAACGTTCAAGTAAAAGTGTGTTCGCGCGTGTATTGAGGTGTATCAGCGAAGGTGGAAGGGACATGTATTGCGTATCAAAAATGAAAAGAGGATATTGTTGTCTCTTCGCTACCGAAGTCCTCCCCAAACTATGCCAGGGGGCTCTCGTGGCCTAGGGGTTACCTCTCAAAGCTACCAGGTTTTATTTGGGGTTAGGGACAAACCTCGGCCCTCTCCTGAAACATCCCAATATCCCCTGAGCACCGAGGCGAAGCTCATCAACGCCATTTTCCTTCCAACACTCACATATCAGTGCCAGACATGGTCCCTACCAAAAGCCCTAGACAGGAAGCTGGTCACATGCGAGATGAAATGCTTCAGATAATAAGAAGAGCTGTCAACAAAACAAAATTAAAAAAATGAAGTCACAAGAGACACCGTGGGAGCAACACCAGTCCTACCACACATTGAACAACAAACGGTCAAGTGGTTCGGACACCTTACGCAGATGCCCTCAAACCATCCAGCTCTGAGAGCATACAACATTAAATATTCTGGATGGAGAGCCAGAGGAAGACCAAGGCAACAATGGAGTGAGTCTGTGGCAGACACGCTCAGAGCTCACGGGATGTCCCTCCTACAGGCCACTCGCCTTGCTGCAGACAGACGCCTGTGTCTCCCCGCGACACCCACCGGTACAAGCGGAAGAAAACAGTAAAAAGTAAGTAAGGGACAAACCAGAAAATGGTCAACGGAGGGTTGTCTTTCCGAGAGCCTGGTTATGAAGGGCACCGATACAGTTCTCTAAGATCTACATCTCTGAGTCTGATTGGACAGTTTCCAAAGGTTTCCTATGCTATGCTGCGATTGGCACCTTCAACAATTTACATACGTATGTTTTAGTAATGTCCTCGACCAAACTTTGTACGGTCGGTTACCATAAGCCAAACTGGTATCCTAAAACTGTCCGTGTAAATATTGCACGGTTGTGGAAGGGGGAGGGGGAGAGGGAGGAGAGGAGGCGTGAGGGGGTGGAGGGACCAGGGTTCGTGGCGGGTGGGGGGAGGGGGGAGGGGGGAGTCTGGCAGTAAATACACGTATACCTTTTACAAATGTTTTGGGTTTTTTTGCTTACCCAGTAAAGCATTCAATGTTTTTCTACAGTTATGACTATGATGATAGAGCACAATAGCCTGTAGGTGTACATGTGCTAAGAAATAAATCAGCCAATCAGCAGAAATAAGCAAGGGATAGTTCAGAAAAATGGATGGTTGGTGGGTGCTCTAGTGGGGTTTGCTCCTTCTTTCCTATCAATATCAAACAAATTTATGTTATCTTTCCTCTCGTTTATTTGCCCCCCCCCCCACCCCCTTCCCCCGAACCGGGCAAGTGCTACAGACTGAAATTGAAATTGTCTTTAGGCCATTCCCAAAGGGGGGATATGAGTTCTCATGCAGAGTAGAATTGTAAAAGGGCTGATTTATCAATGTCATGCTCATAGTGTACTAAAACAACAGAGGGGGAACTGCCGATTTTTCTTTCCTCATCCTTACTATCGTCATTTTTTCCTCTACTTCTTTTGTATGTTTGTCACTCTCTTGTGAACTGCTGTTTCCGGGGTGCCTTGATAGTCGAAGCAGACTAAATGCTGTTGAAGCTAGAGAGGTGAGCAGAGTAAGTCTGATTCCCTGTATGGACTTCTCAGTTGACACCCACCCCTCGGCGCTCATATGACCTATGCAATAGCGAGCGCCTTAAAATCCTTACTGAAGTAATATACAGTAAACCACAAAACAAGGGCAAACAATGTAAAGCTTTTATGATCCTTTATTTGACCTTGTTGAACCCTTTGTTCCCGTCCCTCGTGAAGTCAATCAACAGTGTACATCACCAGAACATCACCAGTACAACACAAATCAATCACTTCATTACATGTACCGTTAAGGATTATATCTGTAATTTGAAAAAAAAATCAATGAAAACATCGTCAGCGTCTGACTCCAACTGTTTATCTCTGACAAATTAGGTCAGACTTTTTAAGGAAAAAAAAATAATTAAATATTTTCTTACCTGGTCATCATCCAATATTTTGTGCAAAATGTACAGTGCAGCCTCTCTATAACGACCTTCCATACAACAACAGCGACACCTTCCATATAACGACATCCTCTGTATAGCCACACCTTCGATATAACGACATCCTCTGTATAGCGACACCTTCGATATAACGACATCCTCTGTATAGCCACACCTTCGATATAACGACATCCTCTGTATAGCGACACCTTCGATATAACGACATCCTCTGTATAGCGACATGGTGCCCAGTTCCTGATTTTTTTCCTTCTATTTTGGTTGCCTCTCTATAACTCCGCACTTCAAACATAGTAGGAAGAATTAGCCATGAAAGAAGCTGCATGAAGACAACCTTGAGACCATCTTAAGCTAAATTGACCGTCTGCATAGAGGAAAAGTGCCATACTTACTATGCTATAACGACAACTCTCTCTAACGACTTTTTTTCTGGTCCTCTCTATAACAACATTTTTTTCTAGTCCCAACCATGTCATTATAGAGAGTTTGCACGGTACTTTTTACTCAATCGAATAATGGATTTAATTAAAATATCACCAATTGAAATAATTGTCGAGAATCACATCCACATAACTTGGGACAACAACAACAAAAAAGAGTTGGACCTAATTTTGCCGATACACAGTGTGAATCAACACACGGAGGATATCAGTGGATGAGGAGACCACGGACACATACATGGGGTCAGACCGAGGGGACCACGGACACATACATGGGGTCAGACCGAGGGGACCACGGACACATACATGGGGTCAGACCGAGGGGACCACGGACACATACATGAGGTCAGCAGGGTTGGTGATTTTTTTTTTTTTTAAATAAAAATTTTAAAAATCGATTTTTAAAATTTAAATCAAGATTTTTTAAATTTAAATCGGATTTTTAAAATTTTTTTTATAAATGTCGACACAGTTTGGGATTTTTGGTGGCTAAGAGTATGTTCTTTTGGTGCAAAATGCATTGTCTTTATTTTAACAAATGATTAATTTAAGCAACTGCAAAAGAAAGCCTTAATCTGCTATATCAGTGAATTATGGCTACAGACAAAACATGAAGAAAATGTCAGTCTAAAAGAAAGGGGGGAGGGGGTAATTATGCATAGATAAACTTGCATTTTATTACAGTGTGTGTGTGTGCGCGCTTGTGTTTGTCTAAAAAGAAAAAGAAAATGCTAATTTCAATTATGAAAAAAAAGTAAATTGAATACTGTATTATTTTACTACTTACAGTGACAGGGGGGAAAGCACACTCTTAAGCATGATTATTTTAGTCTACTAAACCTATATCTGTTTAATAAAACCAAGGAAAGGAATTCTGAATGTTTGAATATATGTACAAACAGAATACATTTTAAAAAAATTGATTTAAATCACTGATTTTTATTTTAAAAGTCAAGTTCATTAAAATAAAAAAAATCAACTGATTTAAATCAACCCAGCTCTGATTTCAATTATGGAAAAAAAAAAGTAAATTGAATACTGTATTATTTTACAGTGAAAGGGGGGAAAGCAGACTTTTAAGCATGATTATATTAGTCTACTAAACCTTATATCTGTTTTATGAAACCAAGGAAAGGAATTCTGAATGTTGAAATGTGTAAAAACTGAATAAAAATAAAAAAAATTTTAAGTGATTTAAATCACTGATTTTTATTTTAAAAATCAAGTTGATTTAAATTTTAAAAATCAACTGATTTAAATCAACCTGAATTAAATCAACCCAACCCTGGGGGTCAGACCCAGTGGATGCGGAGACCACGGACACATACATGGGGTCAGACCGAGGAGACCACGGACACATACATGGGGTCAGACCCAGTGGATGCGGAGACCACGGACACATACATGGGGTCAGACGAGGAGACCACGGACACATACATGGGGTCAGACCGAGGAGACCACGGACACATACATGGGGTCAGACCGAGGGGACCACGGACACATACATGGGGTCAGACCGAGGAGACCACGGACACATACATGGGGTCAGACCCAGTGGATGAGGGGACCACGGACACATACATGGGGTCAGACCCAGTGGATGAGGAGACCACGGACACATACATGGGGTCAGACCCAGTGGATGAGGAGACCACGGACACATACATGGGGTCAGACCCAGGAGACCACGGACACATACATGGGGTCAGACCGAGGAGACTACGGACACATACATGGGGTCAGACCCAGCTAGCTGTCTCGAGTTCCTGATGGAAGAAACTGACATGTCCCTAATTAAGGCTTATAATAAGGTCGCTTTTAAGCACAAGGAGGCTATCCCCATAAATGCTGTTTAGAGAAAATCGAAGGTAAAGTTTTTGTCCCTTGTTCAGTTTCTTTAAAAGACAAGGAGAGTTTTCTCTATAACCAAACAAATATACACACCAATGAAACCAAACTTCTCCTATAGGTAGGGTGTATTAGGGTGTGTCGGTCAAGATTTCTAGAAACCCCCGACATCTGGGTCAGCCCACTCTTCCTTTAAAGCGACCACAAATGACCCCATGTCGTGTCAGTCAGAGAAAAACAAACAAATGAAAAAATAATCAGCCCCCGTGAGTAAATTTTGTACCATGGTTTTGTGATTATAATATACAAATATGTATACATACAGTCCATATTTATTCATAAAACAACACGTATAACTAAGGAGAAGCACACCCCGTCATTACGAGGAAATGAGAAAAAAAGCAGAGATCGTACGTCATAACTGATTGACTATATGTCACAAACAGACGGAATAAAAAAAACTGCACTCTGCCCCGAATACAAAAGTCAGACTCTGTCCTTAATATAAACATTAAAAAACCACTCCAACCACAACTATCGTTTAAAAAAAAGCTCACTCAATCACCGACAAAATGTTGTTTTTTTTTAAAAAGCTCACTTTATCAACAAATATATGTTTGTTTTTTTAAAAAGGATGCTCCATCCAAAACAAACGTTTTTCAAAAAGCCCACCCCACCCACCCCACACATGCAGCATGTACAGATTTCTAAAACCCACCCAACCCAGGACAAACATTGTTCTTCTGCACCCACCAACCACCCACACTGGCTTTTCAATATGCCGACAGAACTCTGCACTGTGGGGGCATCATACAATATCAGACGGAAAAATCATAGGGAAGTGAAGGGTCCAGACTACACAAGTAAGGATTGTACAGAAAACTTTCCAGTAGTATAATACGTATA